ATTATTATTGTTTTGATTTTTATTTTAACATATTTTTTGGACTAAACACCTTTAACACAATATTATTATATGATTATAATTTATTTATAAATAATCCTAAAAAAAATAAGGGTTCCACGGATAAAAAAGTTTAAGAAACGCTGAATTAGACGAACGATTACCAGTGCAGCGGGACATATTCGTCGACAGTGTGCTTCGGCCATTGTGAATCTGTGATGTTGACTTGCGTAGCTCGCGCGCCGCCAGACGGTTGTAATATTGTTGTAGACGTTGATAAAAATACGCATTCGTCTTCGTTGTTTACACGCTTTATGTGTAAGTGTTGGATTGAAAAAAAAACAATGTAAAACCGTTAACTCGCCGAAATTAAATACATCACGTTGTACGGGGCGGCATGCATACGTATGGGTCTATTCGGCCGTACAGGGGCGGTGTGTGTACCTATGTGTATGGTTACAGTTCTTTCTTTTTTTTACACTTCAACTAGTTGGTTTTTTTTTTTTTTTAATGTCAAAACATTTTTCGATTATTTCGTATAATATATACGCGCTCTGTTTGCTGTACACAATATTCTTTCAAAACTATAAAATAATACGGAGTCTGTCATATAAGCCACTCAGTAGTAAATCAAAATGTGCTTTAGGGAACAATTTGATGCTTGTATAGAAAAAAAAAAAAAAAAAAGGAAACTGTAACCGCTTTGTTCAATTGGCCCCCGTACATGAAGGATGTATAGTTATGTGTTTTTATTTTTTTTACTCACCCCTTTTCCGATTCCGTAGTACAATAATGTTCCTGCGTACACACGCATTCAAAGAAGATTCGCATAAATATATTTTCAGTATAAAAAACATTTATTGCCGTGTTAGGTGTACACTATAACTATATATATTTAAATGTAATTAATCTCCTGTATTTATTATAATATGTATTATTAATATAGTTACTTTGATATATAGGTATTCATTTTTGAGCGTTTGATGAAAATTTATTGTTGCTATAATATACGTACATCTACGTATATCTATATATGATATCTCTCTAAAATTTACATTAATTTCCAATTATTGAATCATATAAGTACCTAAAAATATGCTGAATTGAAGTATATGTGTATATTATATACACATACAGATAATAATTCAATGTTTAGTTTGGTATATTCTATATGATAAACACACATGTGTATAGTTGTAATTCATAGTCACCCGAAAACCGGATTATAATATGTATAACAAATGAAACGTTAAACAGATCAACGTGTTCAAACATAATGTAGTATGGATGGATTATTTTATATTACACATTACAGTGTATGCCATATAAAATTATGTACAAAATTAGGTTTTATATTTTAATTTATTGTGATTTTAATAGAGTCTATCAGATTCTAACGATACTTTTAATTTTCATGACTTAATTTACATTTTCTTTTTTATTTATGTATCTGCTATATATTACCTATATAAGAGATATAATGATTAATATTAAATTGCATACAGTTTTAATTCGTCTTCAAAATACCTTATAAAATTGAATACATAAACATACACACACGCAAGCAAAAATTTAAATGGATAATACCATAAAAATGTTGGCTTGTCAGATCCACAAAATATATATTGAGCTATAGATATATTTTAAGCATTATTTTATCTATGTCGTGGACCGTTTTAATATGTGACTATATGAAAAATATGTATTTAACTTTCTAATTTATTAATTTGATCTCATTTATTGTCTTTAATAATTATGTTAAAATAGATAGCTATAAAAATAGGTTCGTCATATTTTTTTAGACTTGCATTACCAGTAAGCTTGAACTTTTGAGTATTTGTGTAAATAACAAAGACAATTTATGTTATTTAAATAAATTATAAAATTGTAGAAGTTATATATTGACCCTATAATATATATAATGATCTCATATAATAGACATTAAACACATTTTTAACATTCATGAAGTTGATAATAAATGATTATTCGATACTGTATGATAATGATTTATAATTATAAAAAAAATAAATAAAATAAAATTTTATAATTTATATAGTATCATACAAGTTATAATTTTAATTTGCTTAGTTTAATAATTTTAATTAGTTAAGAAAATACTCTAAAAAAATTCTGTATTAGTATTACAGGCATAATATTTTCATGTTATTTATTATACATTGTTTTTAAAAATAAATTGACGTACCTACATTTTTTTAGGTTTATTTATTTTATTTGTTGGTAAATAACCTATACTTACATATATGTATATTTAGTAAATTAGTACGTTTGTATACGTTTTGGTACTTAGATACTACATATATATGTGCATACTGTAACGTGTCTAGAAGTTTAGGACGTAGATTTATAAGTATATCTCCAAGTTACAGTGAAACCTGCCTTAACAGACACTTCTAAAGAGTGGACACCTCCAAATAATGGACGTTTTTTCGGGAGCGGGAAAATTATTACTACTTTTCTATAGGAAAACTTCTAAATACGAAACACTTTAATTAACGGACCCTTTTATGATATTTCAATTTTTGAAATTGATAATTTTTATCATACATTAAGAACAGTTGTGAAATACCTAAACAAAAGTTTACATTATTTAATTATATTTTATTACGTATATTATTGTATAGTATAATATATCTTATCCATCCAGTCTTTGAATTTTTATCAGGTCGATGAAATCTAGCTATGGCTAATGCGTTTCATATTAGTAATTAATATTTAATTTGTTAAACAAATACTTATGAACTTATTTTTTTCATACATGTTAATTTTTAAGATGTATGTATTTAATTAATGTAAGTTCTCGTAAAAATAAAATTATTATAATTTGTATTTTAACTTAATTCATAATTCTAATTTAATAAAAATAAAATGCCTCCCTCTAAATAGTAGTTACCTCTGAATAGCCAAAAAAATGTCAGCAACCGACAATGTCCGGTATTTAGAGGTTTCACTGTATACATTGATATTTTAAACCTACATTGGTCATATGGATTAATTTAATAATCAATGTTGAAGTATTTAAAAAATATCAGAACCTTAACGAAACTTAATGAAAAATAATGTAATAAGGTCAGGTTTTATATACCTTTCTCAATCACAATTTTTGTTAAGTAGAAAAATTATACTAAATAAATCGTTCCTTTGCTTCGTACTAAGACGAAAAATACTACAGTTTAATAGATATTCTTTTTTTTTATTTTAGTAGTATTTTTTTTTTCATATTATCTACTGTTTCGTTTCGTTTATTATTCAAATTCTCGGTTTAACATGTAATACTTTTATGCATATCTATAAATAGTTGGCTGTAAACTCATTTTTACCGCAATATCTGTTGCGTTGTATGTATTTATTCCAATGACGTTGTTGAGTTGCAGCTATTAAAACTTTGAAATAGCTTTGTTTTTAGAAAAGGTTTTAATTTCCAATACAATAATATTTTAAATATATGAAAAGGGAGGCTGTACTGTCTTGTACAGTTTTAACATTGATACATAAAATCTTCAGTTAATATACTTTTATATTATTGCATTGAATATAAATATTTCATTATTTCAATACCTATTTATAAGTTATAACGAAACCTAATAATAGAAACAAGATTTTGTTGTGTATACTTGTATTTATTTTTAGAAAATTACTCTAATAATGCTTCAAAATAAGCATTAATGGAATGATTGGCTATATTTGCAAAATATATTGCCAAATAGTCGTTCAAAATTGTTGGTTAATTACATTTAATGTTTAATTTTTAAGTGCTTATATTATTTTTGTAATTATAATTAATATGAAACTTAAAACTAATTAATTGTAAGAGTTAAAATTATGATTTCATTGCAAATTAATGCAATAACTAAATGCTAGGCTCATTAAACGATTGCATATGAAAAAAAATGTAATTAATACTTATAACTATAGTTTTTAAGCGTTCTAAAATAAAATGAAAGTAATAGATTTTAGGTGGTTATAAAAATGAAAGTGTCCTTTTACGTTTAATATCGATCGAGTTAGGATTCGGAAATCGCATAAAATTAAGATAGACCCATAAAAGTAACGAAGCAATATATAATTATTAATTTTTACCACTTTATTAACAAAATTATTTGGAAAAATTAAATTTTTTGGAATAAGTATTATATGTGCTTCCTATAGGATTGATTAAAAAAATAGTTTCGTATAATTTGATTTTATTATCAACGCATATATGTTGTTAAATATGTTATGTGATAGTGGTAAGATAAACAAAAATATTTACAATGTAACGAGAACATTTTTTGGGGAACAGATAAATAGGTATTAGATAGTATATCGTTCTTAATTCATATAAGAGCAAATATTTTGAAGAACTATTAGCTCTGAACCTACTTAATATACATCTTTATAATCATTTATGTACCATAGAGTTTTTATTTAGCGGATTCAAACCTTAAACGGTTTATGCCTAGTTTGCCGACACCAGGTTTTTTTGATCAAAAAACCAGTTTTTAATAGTTTAAAAAAAGCCCAATTTACCGACAGTAAATTATATTAGCCACGTGCTACGGCAGCATCGCAATAAAACTATAATACTATCATAATTTGTAAATTTATTTTATCTTGAGTATAAGGTTACTATCATAGGTTATCTATCACATGATAATTGACATCCATCAATATATTATATTAATATATAGGTAAGTCCACTGAGGTTTTCAAATAATGGTCATGATTTTACTTTTTAAAGTAATTTGTATAACATTTTAATGAATCGCTCAATATAGCATAATTATATGTATCTATATTTTAAATTATATTTCACTATTTCAGAAAACGAAATTACTTTAATTCAATATATTGATAGGTATCATAATATATAAAATTCGCTTATAACTTTTTATTTTTATTTATACATATTATATGATGACTATGTAATATATTTACTATTTTATATTTTTGTATTGAATGTTAATTATACATTTTTTATAACTGAACTGAACTTTGTCAAATAGGGTTTTGGCGAATTGGGTGTCGGCGAACTAGGAACACACCAAGTTAAACATATTTTTGAGTGATAGCATATGCAAATCGTAAGTATACATTTTGAAACAAAATACGTTTATCAGCTGTACCACTTGATAAGCACGTGTTTACATTTCTCACGTTTGTATACCAACATAAACAATATTAACAATTTAATGATTAATAATAGTGATTTCCTTCTCACACGTATTCAAGGTGCTCATAGGTGGACGTATGGGGGTCGTTTATGGTTGTAAGTGATGCGCCTAACCGAGATGGTATAGGCGTTGCATCCCTGGTGTAGCATTCTATTATTTGTTAATGCGAACATCGCCTACGCGTTGGATAAGAAGCGATGTAGTCGTGCGTGCGAATAGAACTATTTACACACTTTACGGGTGGAAACAATAACGTATCGGTATACGCTACGCCTTATGATAATACCTAGTAGGTATTACCTACACGTATATGCATGAAAACATAAATGTTTGGTTACGTTTTCCCGTCGGCTACTTGAGCGTGTGCGGTTCCTATTGCGTACACGCATGTATGACGGACGACGGCGGTGCGCGGTAGCGAATACGCTTGCGAGAAAGGAAAACGAAACGGAAACGAATTATGGCGAGAATGTTTTTATACGCGTGTGTGTCCGGTATCGAACGCGCGCACGAGCGGGTACACAGGACGGGCGTTTCGAAATGAATACAACAACGCGCGCGCATTTTTATTATAATAATAATAATGCTCGCCGTAGGGGCGGGCTCGGGAAAAAAAATCGATTTGGACACGAAAACTTTGGCGCGCGTTAATTTTTTCCAATTCACTATTATTTGACCCATTTCTTTTCCGTCGGCGGGGACGCGGCGAGCGGTGGGATTTTCGAGCTCCGCCACGAGCTGCGTCGACGGCGGGGAGGTGAACGGATGCGTACGTGCGTGCGCGCGCGGTAGGTGTGCGGCCGCGGTGGTTTCGGTGGTGGTGGGACAAAGGGGTTGGACACACGAGCGGTATTTTCCGCACAAAAGTAAACGGCCGGGAGGAAAGGACAGGAGTGAGATAGATGCGGCGGTGGTGACGGACGGGTGGTCGGGGGGAGTTAGGGGTTGA